CTCTCCTCCAGCATCACATTTCAAACAAATCATTTTTTTCTGGTCTCAGTTTTCCTAACTGTCCAATATTTACACCCATTCACAGCCATATTGATCAGGAATACATGAGTGCGGATGATCTTGGTCTTGATCTCTAGGGACAAATCCTTACATTTAATGATCTTTTCTAATTCCTTCTTTGATGCCCATCCAAGGCTCCACCTTCTTCTGATTTCTTGGCTACAGTCTGCATTTGGATTGGCAACTGAACCAGTCTACAAAATCTCTAAGTAATGGTAACAAGGTATTTTGTTGTTTAGTCATTGTGTCCGACTCTTCGTGACCCCATGGACCAGAGCACGCCAGGCCCTCCTGTCTTCTACGGCCTCCTGGAGTTGGGTCAAAGTCATGTTGGTCACTTCGATGACCCTGTCCAACCATCTCGTCCTCTGTTTTCCCCTTCTCCTCTTGCCTTCACACTTTCCCAACATCAGGGTCTTTTCCAGGGAGTCTTCTCTTCTCATGAGATGGCCAAAAATATTGGAGCCTCATCTTCAGGATCTGACCTTCCAGTGAGCGCTCAGGGTTGATTTCCTTCAGAATGGATAGGTTTGTTCTCCTTGCAGTCCAGGGGACTCTCAAGGGCCTCCTCCAGCACCACAATTCACCAGGTATACAAAATCTCTAACCATTTAGTTAGGGCAGGTGAGGTTCGGCAACAAACCATCAACGAACTGTGAGACACCCAATTCACGGGCATGCTGTTGGGAGCCCTGCCAGGTGTCTCTTGAAAGATTCCATGGGCAAGGTACATTATTGCTTTGCATGTCATAAATGCAAACAGTTTCCCAAGGCCACAAGGGGCAAATTAGATCATTTGATCGCGGCTGCTGTGACATCGTCTTCTGTCATTTGGGCTTTGTTTTTTTGTTTTTCCTTTTCATGCAAGTCTCTAACTGTCGTTTGGCAGGCAATAAAGCAGAGCGACCGCATCTGGGAGAGCCCTTTCGGAGAGAAGAGTTTCTCATCACCTCAATAACGCCTTCTCCCCAAAACCTCTCTCGTGAGGTCGGGAAGGGAAAACAAGGAGGAGCTGTGAGACGCAACATCTGTCTTTGCGAGTGAGTCACCTGAGCCTCCTCACATGGTGAAAGAGGGGTGTGCGTGGTGATCAGAAAATGCCTGGTCGCGCATGGCTCCCTTTCCTGTGGTCCTTCAGCTCAGTCATGATGTTCATGAACTGTGAGCTGGGATGCAGAAATGGTGGTGTGCCGTGTCGTAATTGAATAATTAAGGGCCCTCCCTTGGTGATCAAGAGAGCGATGGCTGTAGCACGTCGTCCATCACAAGCATATGTATTTGAGTTTTTCAGATTATAACTCCTAGCCACAGCAACTGGAGGGTTCTGATACTTGTCCCAAAACACAGACACGCACCTTCTATGGTTTTTGATCAACCACTGGAAATAAGAGGCTTGTGAAAGCGTGCAGAAGGAACTGCAGAAGACTTTAGCTGTGGTCTGTAGCCTTGAAAAGTCTTCCAAGTAAAATGTCCAAACTGATTAAGAATTACATTTGGATTCATGTACCTTGATTTAGTCCCGTGATTCAACTGAGTGCCTCATGCTCTTTGCCCCCAAACCCTTTGAAAACTGAAATCCTGAAAAGGGGGATAATAGCAGCAACTCTCCAAGGTTTCAAGATCAAATCAGGAAAAGCAGATTTTTTTTTTAAAAAAAGGAGTATTCTCAATTTTTCCTCCAGTTATATAACTTCCCCAGGGGTTAGAACCTCAATACTCAACTGGAAGATTAACACTGTTTAACTTCCACTGATTAATTACAAAGTAAAAATTCCTTGAATGCAGGATGCCAAAAAGGAAAGTTTGTGCTAAGACAAACAAATGTTTTTCACTACTTAAGAGAGCACTGTCTCTAGATACAGAATAAGTGTATCACCTAGTCTGAAGTCCAGACAGCAGTCTTTCCCAGACTTAACAGGAGATGCTCCTGAACACCCAAAAGGGTGTCTGGCTTCATTGTACTGTATACAGAAACAACAGAGTAGGTTACTCTGATGATTATGAACTTTTGCTTATACATCCCTAAAAAGGAATATTTTTACATCCATGCATGAACTATTTGTCTCCAAACAGGGATCAGAAAGGTGTGCATGGAAACCATTTGGATACTGTGTTACCAAACATCTCTGTTATGATAGAAACATAATACGTATATAAAGCAGGTTTTCCACCCTTCACTGTTTCCTGAAGTTGGGTGGAGAGAATAAGGGGAATAAAGGCCCTGTGGCTGACCTGGTCTTAACTGTAAACTTCTTTTGCCAAAATGTATATTCTTCAGCTCAACACTGAGGAATGTTAAAGCCCCATTAGATGTCCTGCCTCCAGTGGAGAACAAGGCAACAAGACCTCCACACCACTACAGAGTTTATGTTACCTGCACAATTAATATGTTTCTAATGTCCCCTTCGGGGAATTCAGTGTGTGCATTCATAAGTACACATACAGAAATAAGCAAAACAAGAACCACCTGATTGTTGAGAAAGATGCCAGCAACCTATTCCGTGCTTCAGATTCTGAAAATGAATTAGCCACGATCCTAGATTTGAACAACTGCCATAATTGGCCCAATGGAATGAATTGTGCATATATTTTTTAACAACAACAAGAAAAGTAATTTCGGAATAGAACAAACATCATTCCCTGGAAATCAGGTGTCCTCCTTACCACTGGGAAGAGACACACTACAGTTCTTTATACTTGCCTGCAAAAATGAGACAGGTAAGGGTTTCAGCTATACGAAGTGGTTGCCACCGCATTTAGAAGCAAAGTGCCCTTCCATGATAAATGCTATCCGTTTATCCAAGCATGAGTTTTGTCTCGCCTTCACTTTTAGGGAATGAGTTTGTTTTACTTTGTGGTTGGTCATCAAAGGCTAAACCCCATCTTCATTTTTAAGTGTGATGCTCGGGAGCAAAGCCCTGTGAAGTCCCATCTCCAGAGCAGACACACCAAGCTCAGCATCCTGCAGTGCCCTTCCATGATAAATGCTATCCGTTTATCCAAGCATGAGTTTTGTCTCGCCTTCACTTTTAGGGAATGAGTTTGTTTTACTTTGTGGTTGGTCATCAAAGGCTAAACCCCATCTTCATTTTTAAGTGTGATGCTCGGGAGCAAAGCCCTGTGAAGTCCCATCTCCAGAGCAGACACACCAAGCTCAGCATCCTGCTGTTAACTGGCCATCAAAGGCTAAACCCCAACTTTGCTTAGGAGCAAAACGCTGAGAAGCCCCGTCTCCGGAGCAGACACACCAAGCTCAGCATCCTGCTGTTAACTGGGGTTTCTGCCTCTCCGGTACTCCTCATATTCACTCCTTAAATGTTAGAGGTGCTGTTTTAGTGACTCGAACAAGGGTACCCAGAGAGGACAAGTGGATCAGAAGGAACAGGCAGAATCTGGAGCAGCTGTTTTTCTCATTAGATTAAGAGATGCATAGAGATGAGATGACAGAAGATGAACGAGATACTGTTTTCAGGATGCGTCAGCATAAAATCCAGCGCATTCCACACACCCTGGGCTGGAGGCGGGTCAGAAAATAAGCCAGACCTATCCTCTCATCTGCAACCTATCCCTTTCCAGATTATGATTAAGAACTTAATTGCACTTTCACAGTTTAATCGCGCCAGTCAGCTGCTATTTAATCACCACACAATAACGGCCTTGTTAATGGCATTAGGGTCCATTAGGACAATAATCGGCCTATATAAGCCTTACATCTGCTAGCTTCCAAGTCTGCCAGGACACCCAGAGCAATTCATACTGGGAGAAGCGGGAAGGAAGAGAGCCATTAAGAAAAGGGGGTGGGGCAGAGAGAAGGGGGTCCATCTAGATGGGTGGGTCGTCAGTTGGCTCAGAAAGAGAAGGGATACATTGCAGATCAATGAACATTCGCTGGTAAATACTACTGACAAGAGCTTTAGAGAGACTTTGTCTTGCTGTAGTAGTAGTTGTTGTTGTGTGCTGTCAAGTTGCCTCTGACTTATGGTGACTCTATGAATGGCTGGCCTCCAAAATATCCCATCCTCAATTGCCCTGCCCATCTCTTGTAAATTCAAACTTATGGCTTCTTTTAGAGAGTCAGTCAATCTCGTATTTGGTCTTCCTCTTTCCCTGCTGCCTTCCACTTTTCCCAGCATGATTGTCTTTACCAGAGATGTGCCCAAAGTAGGACAGTCTCAGTTTCAACATTTTTTGCCTCCAGAGAGTTCAGGCTGGACTTGATCTAGGATCCACTTCTTTATCTTTCCAGCAGTCCAGGGTATCTACAAAACTCTTTACCCTTCAATTCATACAAATTAAAAAGTAAACAAATCTTGGAGGGGGACTCGCCTACGGTCCTGCAGACTAAAAGCCAGGGTTTCAACCGACTTCTAAAAGGTAGAAAAGCCAACGTATCCTTAATCATCTGGGAGCTGACATAATTTTTATGTTATAATCTTAGGTCTTGTGAAACATTGAAAGATGCCAGCTTTTATGCTTAGGGGTACGAAGTTGGTTAGAAATGTCATCATTCCACTCTTTCCAAGATTTGTCCTTGGCAAGGCTAACCAGAAAAGTTGAAGGTATCTATGGCATGAACTTGAAAGTATCTATGGTATGAACGTGAAACTCTGAACTCTGGACGTTAAAGTTTAGGACACACTGGAAGCTCTCCAAAATTATGTTCTTGTAGCCCAGTAACCTTCTCAATGTATCTGTTCCGCCTCTGATCTCTATGGCCATCACAGATTGTATGATTTTGACACACACACACACATTACTTTTTGGGAAGAAAACTCCTGGAACTATCCAGCTAGCATCGCTCTTAGGGTTACGAGAACAGTTCTCCAATGGAGAGAAAAAGAAAGAAATGTAACTACTGCAAGGAGTTAGGAATGAATGGAGTAGCCATCACTAGCACAAGAAGAAGTTGAGCTCAAGCCAGCCTCTTGGAGTACACTTACTTGTAGTAACAGATATCATGTCCTACACGAATCCAGTGAGGTCTGCCTTGGAGAGCTTCCTTCACCGAATACATGACTGGCTGCATACCTACACAAAACAAAGACCGTTCAAGAAAAACCAGGGGAAAGGTAATATGATTAACTGCACAATGGGAATGTCATAGAAGAGTTTGACTGACTATCTATCCCTTCCCTCCCTCCCTCCATCCATCCAGGAGGAAGGAAGCCAGAATGTCATCATGTCTGAAGGATACATGATACAAGTTCTATTTTTAAGCTATGGCTGTTTGAGCTTTACTGCTGCCCAACCCAACCTGATTTGCTTAATTTTGATTGCTCAATTTTCTTGAAGGCAAATATTTACAAAGAAGAGGACGTTTCCAAGTTCCTAACTTCACTGCGCGGGGAGGGAAAGTAACTGAATTACTTTCTCAAAATGTAAAAGCCAAAGCAACAGATTTGCAGAGGTGAAGGTTCTCCTTCTGTGTAAGCTCTCTGCATCAGTAAGAACCTTCTCAGGCTCCTAAACATGAGCTGCAGGAACATCTCCTCTGCAAGTGTAGGTAGGACACTATGTGTATGAACCGCTGGACACCTCAGTGGCTTAGGTCTCTGGCTGTGGAGCCAGAGGTTGGGAGTTCGATTCCCCCCACTGGGCCTCCTTAACAGGAGCTGGACTCAGAGATCCATGAGGTTACTTCCAGCTCTGCAGTTCAAAGATGATCTTCCCAAGATACAGGCAAACCATCAGCGTGGACGGAGGTGTCCCTCCGGCGTCAGAAAGAGTCTTACCAAAATTAAACTGGCTGTTCGGCTTGTCGCAGTTGATGACATTGAAGCGGTAAGGAGTAGCTGCCTTCATGGCACTGACCTCGAAGTAGAACCACTGATGGTATTGGGAGCTATTGATGTCAGGGTTCAGGATCAAGTCGTATTCGAACCTGGACCACAAGAACAGCAAAGACCACATGAAGTCCCAAGAACACCAACATTCTCAGAACTTACTGAAAACTGGGCCAGGGCAAGGAAAAAAGGCAAAACTAAAATATACAAAGTGCTCATCCTGATAGTGTGTGTGAGAGATTCTATAGCCATCCTATGAAACTGAAGGGTGAGATAAACAAAAAGGATAAACAAAAGGAGGCCTTACTCCACAGAGAAGATGATAATTAAATTATAGCACTCCTTTCCTCAAGAGGGGATGATGGCCGCCATCTTAGAAGGCTTTCAACGCAGATTAGACAGATCCATGGGCTTGACAGGGGACTCGGGCCGAAAAGACAACAAACGACAACTAGCCACCACGACTATATATTCTCCTCTCCAATATTTATAAATAAATATATATACTATGTGTGTTCCTCTGTATTTAAGATGGGGTCCTATTGGTGTCCACGGGTCTTGTATAACCTGGCTCAGCTAAATGCAACTAATTAGCAAGGTGCCAGGGAACATCTTGGTTGCACAATCCAGTGTGAAATCAGGCACAGGAATGAAATGCACACTGGCATCTGTTAATTAGCCACAATTCTGCTTAACCTATTGCCATTCTCGGAGACCCTGGGTTTTCATATAACTAAGAGCAGATTATTTACATAGCCAATACCAATTGGCATGCCCACTGCACTTTCCCAGCAAAAAATATCCAATGGTTAAAATAAGAAGCTCAAGATAAAAGGGGGTAGATCAGATGGAAAAGGGGAAGGGAAAAACTTGGATGTCCCATGTGACTTCCGTTAAGAATGAATTCTAAACTGACATCCTGAAAATTATTCTACATTGGCTGGGGCATGTCGTGAGAATGGCTGATGGTCGGATTCCAAAAGATCTTCTATATGGAGAATTAGTGCTGGGAAATCGCCCCAGAGGGAGACCACAGCTGCCATACAAGGCTATCTGCAAGTGGGATCTGAAGGCCTTAGGAATGGACCTCAACAGATGGAAAACCTTTACATCTGAGCGCTCAGCCTGGAGGCAGGCGGTGCATCACAGCCTCTCCCAATTTGAAGAGACCCTTGTCCAGCAGGCCGAGGCCAAGAGGCAGTCCTAAAACCAGCCAAATCAGGAATCTGGACGGGGGACAATATTGTATTAGTCTTCCGTGTGGGAGGAATTGTCCCTCTCGAATTGGCCTTCTCAGCCACTCTAGACGCTGTTCCAAGTCCTCCGTACAAAGAACGTGACCATAGTCCCTCGAGACTAAAGGATGCCTACTACTACATCCTGAAAATTAGAATGAATTCTAAATTGAAAATTAAGCACCCCAAATGTATCGGGCAAGCCCCACCCTTGTTGCTGGGCTGCTTCCACAACTTACTCTCGCACTTGGATGGCCTTGCGGAGGTTCCCCGATTCAAACTTGGAGAAAAACTTCAGGCAGTCTGGAGCCTCAGAGCTTATGGAGCTGAAAACAAGAGGCAAGGGGATTAAGGCAGGGCACATCAGTAAAGAAAAAGCAGCCACTACAGCATGTGCTCACTAGGGACATTTACAAAGAGCTGTTGGGAGTGAAGGAGAGGCAGTTAACTGATGAATATTTGAGTCCTCCAAGGCCTGATGGTAAATCTTGTCTTCGCCTTCCTCCTTCTCTGTTCTGAAGCAGAGGGAGGAGCTCTGAGGAAAATTTGTAAAGGAAGGCATCAAGGACTGCTGGATAGCTCGTTGGTTCAGAGGTTGGGAGTTTGATTCCCCACTGGGCCTCCTTGACAAGCTGGACTTGATGATCTACAGGGTCCCTTCCATCTCCAAAGTTCTAGATTATTCTTATGAAACCCTCTGCAAGGCCTGTTCTGCTTATCACTGTTCCCCATGATATTTTGCTTTGGGAAGAAGAAGAAATATCAAGGACGAACAGATACCAGTTCGTACACTGACCGTGTCTAATTCAGCACTGAAAAGCAAACCACAATCTGGTTTTGGACTGAGACAACCCAGCTTCAAGATGCCTATCAAAAAGCAAGTGGAGCACTGAGCCATGATTTGGAAAGCCAGCCTCATGAAAACAAGGCAGGCTTCAGGGCTGCGTACCTCGGCCGTGGCCGAAGACAACTTTCAGTATCGAGAGTCAGAGTCCATGGTGAAAGAACGTGAGCACAACCTATCAAATGTCTTCTGATAACCATGAGATGTTTTATTTTGCACTGGTTACTCCACACCTCAAGACAGCAAGGTAAAAGGAGAGTAGGAAGGTAAATAAATGCAATAGTAAGTAAAGTCGCCCTATTCCAGGTCTCATTGACATGGTAAGTATAATCCAGGTGTTCACTAATTGGTTGCACACGCCTAGCTCAGCTTCGTCTCGTTCTGGTTTCATCCCTTTCCTGCATATATGAGTCCAATGAGGGGAAAGTGAGCCCTCTCCTTGTGATGCAGGGTCCCTAAAATATCAGCCTCAGGTTATATGAGAAGCCCCCCATGGACGATGGAGACTGCCCATCATTAGATTCCTTGCTCTCCACATGCCGAGGAGCAAGAGAACTGAGAAAAGAGTCAGCTTGCTTCTCCCTAGGGTGAATGTATGCAACTAGAGAATGACTGAACAGGGTTTGCCTTTAAAAGGAAGGGGGAAAAAACATACCTGCAGCCTTCTAGGTCAAAGGCTACTCGGTTGATTGTATCCCCCGGCCGGAGAACCCGGCGGACGTCTTCAAATATTTTGGCCCTGCAATGATTAAAATGAAGTTTCAGCTGGTGGATGATGAACTTGAAGAAGGAAACATCTTAGATTGTTTTCACACTGTTCAGATGACTACCTTTCTTCACAGAACCTTAAAACAGGTAGCGCCTGCATCAAAATATTTCATTGGGGAATGATCAGGCTGTTAATATACCCTTTTTTCCGCTAACAGTGGTGCAGAAATTCATTTTGTTCACATCTGCAATTGACTTAATTCATACTTCCCAGACTGGGGGTTAAACTAGATGAGGTGCCAAACTTCAAAACTAAACTAGATGAGGTGCAGAGCTTCAAAACTAAACTAAACTAAATGTCATTCCTTCAAAACTTCATGCCTGAGCAATCAAACTGGCAAATGAAACCTCTGTTTACCTCACTTACAAATCAAAACTTAGTTCACAACAGGAGGTAAGAAATGTGTGTGCTGGAACTGACAAAAGAAATGCACTCAACTTCTCACCCCATGCATTCAGTTTGACCCTAGCACTGGGCTGGAAAAAAAGATGTTCTGTGGATTACACACCTCTCTAAAACTGGCAATGAAATTCTGCATTCAACCAATGCCTAACAAATTTTTAGAGGAAAGGCTGCATTAAATCCATCCAGAACAAAAACAGAAAGAAGTCTTTGGGCACCTTAAAACTCCTTTAAAAAATTGTTTGGTTCAAAAGGCATTCTGTGCGCAAGATGAGGTATTTTGCACAAAATGCATGGTGATCCGAGCAAAACACAGGGGGAGATGGTTAAGGCATAAAGGCACTTCTACAATTCTTCTGCCAAAAAGGAGCCAACATTCACAAACAAAGGCACAAGGACTCTCATAATCCTGCCCCCTATGAAGACTTTTATTCTCCCTTGTACAAACAAAAGTGGAGATTTACACACTTAACCTGTCCTCCTTGCTTTATTGTCCTAATGATTTGTTGCATTTCTGCGAATATCAGGACTCCTGTGAGCACCCTCTTCTTTCCTCTGGGGTCTCCGGTACCCACGTTTCGGCTACGTAGGTGTTGACGCTCCCTGCCTCGTTTCTCTTTAGATGGTTCAATGCCATATCCAACCCCGTGCTATCTGTTTGCATGTTTGTCTACATCCTTAGTTTTGAAAAACCTAAGGAGGGAAGAAAGACCTACCTTTGGATGCCGTACCTCCTCTGTTGTAAAGATTGGCTGTAAGGTGGAGGTAGGTGACCCCAGAGATCCGGGAATGCCAGAACTCTGTAGTCTGGAATGGACCTGGTGTCAGCAGCCCTTGTCATGTAGAAGCGTGGATTGTGGAAAGGGATATTGCCTGGGTGTCTTTCCAGAAGCCTTTTCACTACCTCAGAAGCTTCCACGGGTTCTTGGCCACCAAGGCTGCAAGAGTTTATATACTGAGACTGAGAAGTTCGTTTGGCCCGTGGTTTCTGTGTGGCAAGAGGGTGTGTGGCACCTGTGGTTCCCTCTTCTTCAACGGAATCCACCAAAGGCTTTGATTCATCATGAACCACGGTTCTAGGTTCTTGAAAAGGTTTCTCTTTTCTCAAGTGACTGTGCGCTATAACACGAGGTGTCCTTTTGGGCAGCTTTTCACCCATAGCAATTTGGTCCTTCTCTTTGCCCTTTGGCTGGTGGTCAGAGGGAGCGGCATCTGGAATGACATGGAGGCAGGAACGCGTGAGGGTCCCGGGAGCGTCTTCAGAATGTATCTCACTTTCAGACTCTGAGTCCAACTCCTTGGCAGTGCGGAGGAGAAGAAAGAAGAAAGCCAGTTTAGAAAGAGCCAAAAATGGGAAATGAATTAATGGTTGGGGGAAAAAAATCCAAGGGGTGTCACTGCAGGAAAGATTATTTCTATTCAGCAAAAATGCAGGAAAGACTGGGGTGGGGTGGGGGGAAAATCAGACACATGCATGGAAATGTGGTGTCGCTTTATTGCCCATTCTTGTAACAATGCTGCATCCATCAACTCTCTACAACCGCAATTGAGATTTTGGAAAGATTTATAATGACACACATTTCTCTGCCAAAATGAAATAAATTAATAGTATGTGTAGCAAAAATTGAAGGCTAACTATCTCTCTGCATATGTATGGATAGTAAATGTATCTTTCTGTACTTTGACTGCAGTACACTTACTCCCACATCCACTGTCCTTCTACCTCTGTTTCAGGTGAAAATGCGTATGTATCTCCTTTCACAACTTTTAGTGGCAAACAAAGAAATTAAAAAGCAAAACAAAACAAAACAAATGAATTACTGTCAACAAACACTCCTTCCTTGGATTTACAGAAAAACTCAAATTCCAGGATAGACTCACCAGAAAGTCACAATGCAGCTCTGGACACAAGGCCACATATTGTTCAAGCTCCACCTCTGGCCGGTCAAGTGGCGGCTTTGACATGAGCTTGTCAACATCTGTTTCCAAGTCATCATCCTATCCGAAAGAGAGCCAAATAGAAGATGCAAGGAGAAGCCCTCCCTTTTAAACCTTCCACCACCACCACCTCTGTGAAAAGTGCTTCATAATTTTCCAAATCCCACCCAACTCACATAATAATGCACCAAGGGAGAAATTCCCCAGGGGACTACTTAGTGAGTAAGAAACACTCAACTCTCTCTCACACACACACAAACACACCTTCCATGTGTCACATCTGTTTGGGCTTCAAGAGGGCATGCATCTGCTCTTGTGAGGGAGCATCTAAACCAACAATTAACCCCTAAACCAATAGATTTTTGTAATTTTAGGCGGCGTGCATTCAAGCGCAAGCCCTCAGACCCTGGTTTGGAATATTATCCATAGTGCGGCCATACAGAAGGAACAAAAGACAGTTAAAGCAAATGAGTAAACCTTTGACTTAACCTCTACTCTGGGATTAAGTATGATAGAATTTAACAGGATCTGCTCTCCTCGCTGTGAAAGCTGGCGACTGACCTGCAGTCATCCAGTCAGCTTCGTGGCTTGGAAAAAACCCTCTGCATTTTTTTTACCCTGACACTTTAACCCAGCGCTCCCCAACTCTTGGGATGTATCCTTGCAGCCTAGAGAGCAGATCAGACTTAGATGTGCCCCCGGAAAAGCACAACGAACATTACGATAGGGAACTCTGTCCCCCTTATTGCTTTCTTGTCTCATCCTATGACGAGCAATAGACACCTCCTTTCTCAATTTATAAAATGCCTTCTTCAGAACATCAGACAATTTTGCTAAGTCCGGGGCCCACCCAGGCCTTCGGGGGCCCCACACAATGTTTAACATTTTCAAAGGCTCGTAGACTGCATAAGCTGGCTTTTTCAGTTTAAAAATGGGAATGGGAGAGGTATTTTTTTAAAAAAACCCTGAAATGTCCTCTTGCCACACCTCCAGAAAGTAAGGACAGGCAACGTTTAAATTTATTTCCTCCC